ACTGAAAAGCGTACGCAGTGAAGTCCTATTCTGACATACATATATGGAGCCGCCATGAGTTAGTAACGTGTGTTTTTAGCAGGTCGTATGAGTGGGCAGATAGCTCCCTTGAAGACCCATGGGAAAGATGTGGGGTAGGAGTAGGCTGGAGGACCAGGGTGGGGGCCAGGAGACCCAAGGAGACAACTCGGGTCCAAGATTTCCTAAGAGAACATGCCAAGGGACTCTGGAGAGCTCATGAGGGAAGCAAGATAGCTGTCATGAGCTGCCATCCATAGAGTTGGCCCCCCAACTCATGGAGACCCCAAGCACAAGGGGACCTGACCATTGTGTTCCAGAGGGTTTTCAGTGGCTGGTTTTCTGGTATAGATCACCAGGCCTTTCTTCCTAGTCTTAGTCTGAAAGTTCCACTAGAACTTGTTCAGCATCACAGCCAACAGAAAGCCTCTAGGGACTGGCGGGTGGTAGATGGACACGAGGCATACCAGATGGAAATGGTACCAAGCAGGTAAGCTGACTGGGGTGGGGGTGGGGGCCTGAAATATGGGCAGGAAATTAGCAGAACCTTGAGTGTGGAGATGGAAAGGTTTCCTGAGAAGGCAAGAGCTGGGGGCCTGGGGGGGCGCAGCACGGCAGGGCAGGGGACCAGATCTCAGTGGCCTCCCTAGCTCCCACCTGAATCTATCCGGGCACTAGAGATGAATTTGTCCAGCTGACACCGTAAAAAGTCCCTCTCCTCTTCCAAGTCCTCGATGCGTTTCTGCAGCCAGGAATTCCTCTCCAAAGCCATGTGCAGCTGGGCCTTGACGCCATTCATCAGGGCCAGGGCAGGCGACCCCGCCTCCGGGGATTCTAAGGAGGCACGAGTGGGGGGTGCCAGTCACTTGCCAGAGCTCCAAGGAGCAGGGCCTGCTGCTCAGCAGCTTCCGGTTTCCTGCCTCCCCCACAAACACCCGGGGCTCACCCTCGAAGTTTCCCCGAGAGGGGCTCAAACTGTAAAAGATCTGCGGGTCTAGGTGGGGCGCCTGGTCAAAGGGGATGGAGATTTCCAAGGTCTCATCATCCTTCACTGCAGAGAAGAGACCTGGATTCACACCACACACAAGTCCCCAGGCCCCCCAGACAAACCCCCAACCACAGCAGCCCCGGAAGCAGGATGGGTGTGAGGGTCGAGGGTGGCACGGGAACCCTGGTTCCTCACTTGTCCTCCGCCGGCTGTTTCGGTGGTCACTCATGGCGGGGCGTGCGGAGGACCCACGCAGCTGAGCGCCTCACAGGTACTGTACAGAAACAGGTGCCATAGGTAGAGGGGCCTGGATGGACTCCTGGGGCTGGGAGCAGAGCAGGCTGGGGGTCAGGGTTCCTGGTGCTGAGGGAGGAGGAGACTGGGGGTCAGGACTCCCGGGTCCGAGGGAAGAGCGGGCTGGGGGTCAGGACTCCCGGGTCTGAAGGAAGAGGGGCGGGGAATCCTGATATCTAGGTCCTGGGGGTGTAGTGGACTGGGGACTTTATCCACAGAGTGTGGATGGAACGTGGTATGGGGCCCCCAATTTCTGGGATCCCCATGGGTCTACAGAGCAGGGATGCCAGGTGTTAACGGGAAAGTCCCTCCTCTGGAGCCACCCAGGTGCACGGGGTGAGGGTGTACACAGTGCCCCAACTTCCAGGTTGGGGGGGTCAGGCCCACGCGCGGCACTCCCCGTCCCTTCCCTCCCCCGCATTCGCGTGGACTAGCTGGGCCCTTTCCCCAAGGTAGGAGTTGTGCGCGTGCGCGGTGCGCGGGAAGGTCACGCGTGGGAATGCGCCCCCGCCCCCGCCCTTTGTCCCATGAGTGGGAGCTGGAATGAAGGTGGGCAGGGATCTCCGTGGGGCCAGCACCAAGCAGAGGCTGGGACGTGGCCGCCCGCCCGCCCGCCCGCGGTGCCCGGGGTCGGAGAAGCCGGGGTCCTCCGCGCTCACCCACCCGCGCGTGGAGTCCGGCCGGGGGCCCGACGGTGGCGGCGCCCATGCCCGGCGCCGGGGAGCGTCTGCAAAGTGCCACCGGGCGCGGGAAGCGCCCATCCACCTGCGCATGGGCCGGGGTGCGCGCGAGTCGCGGGGCGAGGAGGGACGCAGACCTCTCCCGGGACGGACGAGTCCGTGCCGCCCCCTCTGCTAGTCTCCAGCCGGGGTGGTGAGGCCCGCTGCCTTTGGTCGAGGCCCGGCTCGCACTTGCGCGACAGCCCCTTGCCGTTCTCCCCCGCCCACCCAGAAGCCCAGGCAGGGAGCGTCAAGAAATTCCCAGTTCCGGGGGAACTGGAGGAGCTCGGGGTCCCCCCCGGGGGTGGGGGGTGGGGGGGGTGGCAACGCAAGGAGTTGGGCGCCAAGGAAAGCAGGCGAGTGGAGTGGAAGAAAATAACCAGGAAAGTTAGGGCCAAGAGGAGAATCTCCATTTACGTCGTCCTGGGAATTGGTTAAAGCGGACCCCCACCTCCAATTTGCTCCTGTAATTCACTCGGGGCGTCATCCCCGGGGGGTGTTGGTGGGTCAGGATCAGGTGGGAAATGGGGAGTATACCTCTCCCAGAAAGTAGTTCCTCTCCTCACACTAGTGATTAACAATAATGGACCATTCAAGCCTAGATTGCAAATCTTTCCCATCCCAGTTTACTCACCTGTCAGTGGGAAGATTAAACCACTACCTTACAGGCTCGCGGTGAGAACACACGGCGCCTGCCCATAGTCAGGGCTGCGCCTTAGTATCATTTGAGGTCAGACTGGCGGGTGAACACAGCCCCGGGGAGGCTCTGTCCTGCTCTGGGATGTGGGGAGCAGATTGGTTCTTTCCGCCCAAAAGGAGGTCGGAGGATAGCACTGAGGCACAGCACAAAATGGACACGCAAGGAAAATGAATGAAGGCAGCTGTTTATTAAGCTTCCAGCTCAATTCCGCCTGCTTCTTCTCTTGGTCCCCACTGATATAGCCATGCTCTGGAATTTTGCCAGCCCTTATGAGAACACAAGGGAGAGAAAATCTAAATGTTAGGGGTGGAAGAATCTTAAATGATAATGGCATCTAGAAAGCTGTGGCCATACTCCTCCTCCCCAGCCCCCTCGCTTTACAGAGAAATCGCAGTCGCTGGATCAAGTCCGGGGGGACCCTCCTGCCCTAGATCGGTGGTTTTCAAATTACAGGTTCACAGGCGGAGATTTCAGTATGGTGGAAGTCAGCAATTAAAAAATAATAGTCCATTCAAAATCGTCAGTGTCCCACATATAGCAAACAAAACTATTGTTACAGAAACTTTTGTTTCCTGTAAATGTTAAGCATCTGTACACCATGTACCCACCAGGCGCTCCTTGGAAACCCCAGCTAGGGTCCCTATGAGTCAGAACTGACTCATTACCATTTAACACCACCACGGTATTGGAGCTCTGGTGACACGATGAGTTAAGCGCCAGGCTGCGAACAGAAAGTTGGCAGTTCTAACCCACCAGCTGATGCTAGTGTAAACGTCCGAGGTTCCAACCCACCAGTCTCTCCACGGGAGAAAGATGAGGCAGACAGTCTGCTTCCATAAGATTTCTAGCCTCGGGAACCCGAGGGGGCAGATCTACTTGAGTCAAGCCGACTCCACGTTACAGCAGTGGGTTTGATATGCCACGTTGCATACGGTTACGTGCTCAGTTGTTAACTGAAAGGTTGGAGGTTCTTGGAGGCGACTCGGAAGAAAAGCCTGGTAATCTACTTTGGGAAAATCCGCCATGGAGAATTCTAAGGAGCAGTTCTGTTCTACAACACATGAGGTTGCCAGGAATCATGGCGCAGTATAAGACGCATTTCTTCCTGCACATGTGGTCAACAGAGGGTCAACATTTGAAAACCCTCTGCTTAGAAGACACACAGCCGGGGCTTCAAACCAGTGCCAGAAGACGGACCTTCCTATCTCCCAGCCAGGCACACTGAGGCCCAAAGGGGTGTAGGGCTTGTTGAGGTCTATCTGCGGCTGTGCAGTGAGCAAAGGCGGTCCCAGATGCCCTTGCCAAAAACCGGCTCCAACTGCGGCAAGCCGGAAGCGTGTTTACTGGCTGTCAGGTCTCGGCCCTGGCTGCGGGTGGGAGCCAGCTCTGGGGTCCCTTCCCTCAACATCAGGAAGGAGGTCCTAGGGAGAAGGTGCGGATTCCTGATGGGCCCCAGCGGTGGAGCATCTGCTCACGCCCCACGCTGTTTCAATGCTATGTCTCTGGGGTCAGAAGAGTCCACTCAGTACCTGAGAGGTCTCGCTTCCATCATAGTCCAGCCCCCCAAACTTGCAGGACGTGAAGATCCGCTGGTGGCCCCTCCTTCCTGCGTGGTATGGCCTCCGAGACTTTTGGTCTGTGTTAGCATCGGGGTATGAAGAGGGGCCACTGGCGTGCATGGGCCCCGGGGCCCCGAGCTGAGCAGACCCGCTCACAAGTGCTTCCATCGGGTGTGCTTCTGCAATGTATTCTGCTCCATGAAGCGACGCGGGCAGTGCGGACACTGGAACGGACGCTCCCCCGAGTGCACCCGGCTGTGCTGAGCCAGCTCGCCTGCCTCCCGAAAGCGTCTCGGGCAGGCAGGGCAGCTGTACGGCCGCCCGCCCCCCTCCCGGTGGATGGAGTGATGCCTTGTCAGGTGGCTGGCCCGCTTGAAGGCCTTGCCGCAGATGTCACACTCGAAAGGTTTCACCTCCGAGTGGGTGATGCTGTGGCGCTGCAGGTAAGACATGTACTCGAAGACGCGTGAACACACGGGACAGCTATAGCACTTTTTCTGGGCCGAAGACCCCTCGGCCCCGCGCCCCCTCTGCGCATCTTCGTCCACCAGTACGGTGTAGGGGACGCCCTGGGTGTCAATGAGCAGGTAGTGGTTGGGGCGCAGCGGGGAAGAGGTCTGGGGAGATCCCGTGGAGGATGGCCCTGGCTCTGGGGACCCGCCTGTCCGAGGGGGTGGGGCCTCCATGGCCTCAAGGGAGAGAAGCGCCTGGGGGTGGGGACAAGGGGTTGGCAGTACCAGCATCCGGAGAGGTGGCTGAGACCTGCTAGAGAGAGAAGGTTACAGAGAAGTTGGGAGGCTGGGACGGACGACTTGGTCTGCATGCCCCTCCCGAGTTCTTCCACTCACACTTGGACGCTAAGACCCTCTAGATTTGGCTCCTAAACAAACAAACAAAAAATACTCAAGTCCTTTGTCATCGAGGGCAGAGGGGAAGTACCTCACAGGGCCTCCAAGGCTGGACTCTTTGGCGCAGGTCGGAGTTGTGTGTTCTTCTCTTGTATGGGTGTATGTGAGTCGGAACCGACTGGATGGTACCTAACAGCAACCTCCACGGAAGCTGACTGCTTGCTTTCTCCCTCAGAGGGGCGAATATGTTCAGACCCCTGGCATTTCAGTTAACAGCCTAGTGCCTGACTGTTGCGTCACCAGGGTACCACCTATTTGGCTCCTAGGATCTCTTTTGAAAACCTCCAAGAGTCTTCGAATCTATATGCCCTGCCACCCCCACTGAATTCACACGACCTCTGCATCTCCCATCCCCTCTCCGCTGCAAACTCCCCTTAGTGCCCTCCTCAGGTCCCTCCTCTCTAGCCACCCCCACGGTGTCTCTATGCTCCACCCCACACACCTCCAGGTCTCTTTCCCCCTCCTCTATAACCCCCAGACCCTTACAAGCTCCACCCTGAGAAGCCCTTTTACACTCTCCATAAACGTCTAAGTCATTTCAATTCTCCTGCAACCTTAGGACCCCCAGTTCCTAACCCGCCACATTCCCACCTCCCTCCCCTCACCCTTTCACCTCGAGGGTCTCAAGCCCACACCCACCCAACACTCAGCCTTCTAGGTCCAAGGACTCTCTAGGGATCCCCGCCCCCCGCCCGCGGGCCTCTCCTTCGGAGCCTCCCCACCCAAACCCCTAGCAGCACCCCCTCCAGGTGCCGGTCCCACCCCTCCCCGCACACAGGTGCTCTTGGGGCCCGCCCCGCCCCTCTGAAAGGCCCGCGCCCGCTCCCGCCCTCCTCCCGGCCCCCGTACCAAGTGCAGCAGCCTCTCCGGTCCGGGCGACTCCGGAACGGCCCCGGGATAGCTTCGCGATTGCAGATGGTAGCGGGCGGGGGGCTCGGGGTGTCCCCCAAGAACTAGCGACGTCGAGTGAGGAGCGAGACGACCGGGGGGGTGGGGGGGAGAGAAGGTCCGAGCAGGGCGATGGGGGCGGGGCGCCGAGGCCTTCGGGAAATGCTTCCGGCCGGAAACACACGCCGAGACGGAGGTTCCCAGGTGCTTAGGCCTTCCTCTTCACACCCCGTCCCTCCTCTCCACCACCCCACCCCATCCCCGCCGATCCCCAACACACAGACGCAAGTCCGAGGCCGAAAATGGTGTGCGGAATGTTTATTGAGCAGAGGATGGGGTAGTGGGCGGAAGTGGGGGTTGATACAGAAAAAAGCCAGACGGTGCCCGTGGCCTTTTGTCATCTCTTCCACCGGGCCGCCTGTCATTCACCACTTCGCAGAGCAGGAAACCAAGGCTCGGAGAAGTTATGTCACTGGCGAAAGGTCGCACTGCACAGCCCGACGGGAGCCCACTCCACCCATTTCACAGGCCCAGGGACGACTCGGTCTACATCCCACAGCGAGGAAGGGGTGTGTGTGTTGTGTGTGTATGTGTGTGTGTAGAGGGAGTAAATGAGTGATGGTTCTCCCTTGGGAAAGATGGGGAAACTGAGGCGCAGGGTAAAGCAGTAACCTCAGCAGAGCCAGGGAGCGTGGGCGGGGAGTGATGCTATGCTGTGTGGGGCAGACACCGTGGCCCGGAGGCACCTCGGGCTCAGTGGAGGCGCACGTGCTGCGCCAGCTCCGCGGCGTCCTGGAAGCGGCGCGGGCAGAGCGGGCAGGTGTGCGGCGGGCCGGCGCGGGCGCGGTGCGTGGCGCGGTGCCGGGACAGGTGGCTGGAGCGCTTGAAAGCCTTGCCGCAGGCGCCGCACGTGAAGGGCTTGAGGTCCGAGTGCGACACGCGGTGGCTCTGCAGCCGCAGCGGGCTCGCAAAGACACGGGCGCACTCTGGGCAGCTATAGCCCTTGCGGGAGCTAGGCTCTCCCGCGGGCGCCTCGCGTTGGGGCGGGCCCCGGGGCTCCTCCTCCAGCTGCACCGTGTATGTGTACGGGACCCCGTTGGCGTCGATGAGCAGGTGGCGGCCCAGCCGCGGGGGTCGTGACCCCGCCGCCGAGGGAGGGGTGGAGGAGGAGCCTTCCGCCTTGGGGAAAGGGGGAGCCTTGGGGGGCGGTGGGTCCATGGCCTCCGGAGAGGAGGACCGAGGGTGGGGTGGCCGCGGCGGCAGCAGCAGCATCTGGAGTGGCAGCTGGGAGCGGCGGAGGGGAGATAAGTTAACAATCCCCCCTTCCTTTCCCTAAGCGTCCCCATCCTCACCGGTTGTTTCTTCCCCACAAAAGAAACGGAGCAGCCCAAATCTCTGAGTTCCATCAATCTGAGTTCCATCAAGCTGACTCCAAGACGTCAGAAACGGACCCCGCACATGCCCACCCCACCCCGCTCTGTCCTCTCAGCTACCAGGGCGTCATCCTTCCCCTCCAGGGCAACAGCCAAGCTCCCAAATCTATTTTCCCTCCAGACATCTTCGGGACTCCTTTATCTCACGCCCCGAGGTTCTTCTGCCTCCAGAACTTCATTTCTTCCCAGGGCCCAACAACCTCAGGACCACTGCTGCCATGGCCTCTTCCCATCCCCAGGCCCTCCTAGATCGCAGTTCCCACTGCGTGCCCCACTTTTGCCCCCAAATCCATGGCCTCTCTCAGTTCTTCTAGGCACATCCCTGGAGTCCCACTAACCCAACCCCCCACTCTCCACTAAGTGCGCTCTCCTGCCCCTTCTCAAGGTCTCACCATCCTCTGTCCACTTTTCAACCAGTCTCTATTTCATATATGCGCTGTCGGATAAGCACTGGACTGCTAATCGCAAGGTCGGCAGTTCAAACCAATCAGCCGATCCGCTGGGAGAAAGATGAGGCTGTCTGCTCCCCTAAAGATTTACAGCCTCGGGAACCCCTACACAGGGTCTATGAATATGAATGAACTCAATGGCAATAGGTTGGTGAGAAGACATCTCTACTGGCTTCCTCCTCCATAGCCTAATGTCCCGGGACCTTTCTACCTGCTACCACCCCAAGGGTCTCTTCTCCCCCGCCCCTATATCTTAGCCAATGACCCCTTTATTATATTTCTCCTCTATGCTCCTCCGTTATGTGTAGCTGGATCTCTGGATCTCCTTTCCCACGCCACCTTCGAAGCCTCTCCCCGACTCCCAACCTCCCTTCCTTTATGTGCAGTCTGCAATCTTTATTTCGCCTTTTCTCTTTATGTCTCCCCCTATAACCAGCAGGGTCCCTCCACCCTCTTCTCTTTCCCTCCGCTCCTCTCCTGCAAATCCCTGGCCTCCTCCAGGTTTCTTCCCGCTGCGCCCCCCAAAAGCCATCCCTCCCCCCCCCCACTTCCACAAAGATCCCCGGCCTCTCTACGCGTCGTGGGCCTCGTTCCCCGCCCCCACCCCGGCCCGGCCTCGGCGCCGCCCGCCAGTCCGGCTCCTCCCTCCTTACCGGCCCCCGTACCCGGTGCGGCGGCCTCACGGGTCCGGAGGAGCGGGCCGAGGTCCCGACTGCCCCGGGCTTCCCCTGGCGAGCGCCCGCGGCAGCGGCAGGGCCGAGACTTCCGGGAAGCTCCGGGCCGGCGGTGCCGGAGACGCGGGACGGGGGGCGCGGGGTTCGAGGGGCGGCGGCGTCCCTGGGAAAGGGCGCCGGCCGGGAATGCGCGCGCCCCGCACGAAGGTTCCGCCGCTCCCACGAGCCGCCTTTCCCCATGCCCCGGTGGGGAGTGGAGTGCAAGATCCACAGAAGAAACCCGTTCTCCAACCTCTGAGGGAAAAGCGTGCGGTGGCGTTGACAGAGAATGATTAATAAACGGAGGCTAGATTGAGTATTGCATTGGGCGAGTCTGCTACAAAATACCTCTTTAAAGTGGTAAAAAGCAAAGATGTCACTTTCAGGAATATTGAGGAATAGGGTGTGCCTGACCCAAACCCCGATATTTTGAATCGCCTCATATGCATGTGGAATCCTGGTGTGGCGCTGTAGATCAATGCGCTGGACTGCAAAGTCGGTTCAAGCTCTCCAGCCGCTCCCTGGAAAACCTATACAGGGTTACTATGAGTCGGAACCGGCTCGATGGCACTCAACAACACAACAGCGTATGCATGTAAAAGTTGGACACTGAATAAGGAAGATCAGAGAAGAATCGATGCATCTGAATTATGGTGTTGGCAAAGAATAGTCAAAGTACCATGGATGGCCAGAACAAGCAAATCTGTCTTAGAAAAAATGCAGCCAGAATGTTCCTTAGAAGCGAGGATCTCACTTACTCTGGACATGTTGTCAGGAGGGACAGTCCCTGGAGAAGGGCATCATGCTCGGTAAAATGGGGGATCAGAGAAAAACAGGAAGATTGTCCCCCTCCCCCCACAGTAACTCCAACAATAAAGGCTCCAACACATGACTGTAAAGGGAGGTGGTGCACGGCGGGCAGCGTTTCGTTCGGTTGCACATGGGGATTTTTTCTGAGTTAGAACTGATTAACAGCAGACCTGGTTGAGTCTTTTTACCCAAAATCTCACAAGGAACCAAAGTACTAATCCTCTTTCCACTGGGCTGTTCTTCTTCGCCCAGTCAGACCCACCCAGCCCCGTTAAAGGGCAGATAAAAAGGAAAATTCTGGGTTTGGGGCAAATGAGGAAAACAAGGTCCAGACATTCCCAACAGAAAGAAAATGGTGAGGACAATATTTTCCGTTGAGCAGACTGGAAAACTGAAGCCCAGAAAAAGGCAGACGTTGATGGACAGAAGTGTGAAATACTTCCCATGAGGACACAGAGGCCCAGACTCCTCTGCACACTCTTCCCATTGGCCAGATGGGGACATGGGGCCCGGAAATGACCAGACATTATTCGATCAAGGTGGGGAAGGTGTAATACTCTCCATCAGTAGATGGAGAAACCGAGGCCCGCACAACACCACGCATAGCCAGATAGAGGGGCGGGGAAGGTGTGCTCATTCTCCCACAGACGGAATGGGGAAATTGAGGCCCGGGGGAGCAGCCGCAGCCTCATCTGGGTGTCTCAAAGCACCACGCGCAGTGGGGCGGTTGGGGAAACAGGCGGGTGTGCGGGCCCCTAGTGCGTGGGCACGTGCTCTGCCAGCGTCGCGGTGTCCTGGAAGCGGCGCGGGCAATATGGGCACACGTAGGGGCGGTCGGTGCCGGTGCGCCGCACCGTGTTGTGGGCCATGCGCCGGTGGCGCGCCAGGTCGCTGGAGCGCTTGAAGGCGCGGTCGCAGGTGTCACAGGTGAAGGGTCTGACCATGGAGTGCGTCAAGAGATGGCGCTGCAGCTGCATGGGCGAGCTGCACACGCGGCCGCACTCCTTGCAGGGGCAGCTGGCGCCCTCTTCCTCCTCCTCCTGAGGGTTCGGGGTGGGCTCCTCAGCTGACTGCCGCCGCCCGTCCTTGCGCTGCGTCGTGTACTTGTAGGGCACGCCATGTGTATCGATGAGCAGATAGTAGTGTGGTGTCGAGGACGCAGAGGGAGGCGCGTCCACCTGCTGGGGCTGCCCGTCTACCTGTGGGGGAGGCGGGTCCATGGCGTCTGGGGAGGATGGCAGAGTGGGCGGAGGGTCCCTGGCCTCCGGGGATGAGCGGAGGGTGGGCGGCTGGGGCGGGAGCAGCATCGCCTGGGGGGCAGCTAGGAGCAAGGAGGGGAAAGGAGGGGTTACTGTAGCACCTGGTAGCTCCCGAGACACAGCGTCAACATGACACTAGTGTTGCCAATACCAGCAGGGTCACCCCCCCAGGTGACCCCAAGTTTCAGCCGCACTTCTGGACTAAGACTAGAAAGAAAGGTCTGGCAACCAACTTTTGATAATCAGCCAATGAAAACCTTAGGGGGATGTGTATGATTTGTTGAACGGAAAACGGATTGGCTCTGCAAACCTTCACCCACTTCACACTGCTGCGGTTGTTAGATCCCGTGGAGTCCATTCTGACTCATTGCCACCCTACGTACAACAGAATGAAACAGCCTCCACAATTGGTGTTGAGTCTCGATAGCTACAGCTGCCATTGAGAAACGTTAAAACAAAAACCTTGCTTCACTGATGACAATATACAGGCAGACCTTGGAGCTACGGTGGGTTTGCCTGCAGACAACCACAATAAAGCTATTATCACACAAAACAGTCCGACTACTTTGGGGGTTTCCCAGTGCATAGATTGTCGTTGTCTATGGAGCCCTAGTGATGCTGTGGGGTAAGTAGTGGGCCGGTAACTACAAGGTCGGCAGTTCAAACCCGTCCGCCACTCCACAGGAGAAAGGTGAGGCTCTCTGCTTCCTGAGAAACCCATGCAGGGTCCTTCTGAGTCACAACTGACTCTATGGCCATCAGTTTGGTTTCTAGTTTTTATACTGTTATCTCTGAAATGTGTGATGTTGTTGTTGTTAAGCGTTGTCGAGTTGATTCCAACTCATAGTGACCCTGTACAGGGTTTCCGAGGCTGTAAATCTTTATGGGAGCAGAAAGCCTCATCTTTCTCTCACGGAACAGCTGGTAGTTTTGAACTGCTGACCTTGCGGTTCACAGCCCGATTCGTAACCACTATGCAATAGCATGATGAAAAAGTTTGAGATATCCTGAGAATGCCAAGGGGTGACCCAGAGGCATATAGTGGGCGTGGGCTGGAGTCCTGGGGAGCCGCTGTGGGTTAACATGCAGGACTGCAAAGTCGGCTTGAACTCCTCGGAAACCCTATACAGGGTCGCTATGGGTCGGAACTGACTCAACACCACCTAACAACAGCAGTGACAGTGATCTTGTGAAAAGATGGCCCCAGAGACACTTCACCCAGGGTTGGCCAGAGCTGCCATTGATTTTTCAATGCAATTACATGAGGTATACCTGTGGTGCTAGAAAGCTTCAACTATGGACTCAAATGAGGGTTCATCTGCCATACACAGGGTCGCCACGAGTCAGTGCCCGGCCACAACAGACACGTTTCTGCCACAACACCCATGCTTTTAGGATCTGTGCGCTCAGCACATGGCCAGCGTGTCCTTGAGATGCGGCTACTGCAGCTGAGGACCTCCGTGACTTCTGAGTGTCACTTCATTTTCCATCTTTTAAATCTATACAGCTACAGTGGCCGCCACACTGGACAAGAGGCCACGCTCAACCCCACTGCCAGCTGGTGGCCCGCAGGCCAGAAGGGGCTCATGGTTTTTTGAGGGAGGGGGTTTTAAGAAGTTTGTGCAAAACTTCTATTGTCTTTCCACAAACTTTTTAAAGCCCCTTGTATTTAGTTTGGACCATAAGGTTTATATATATATTTTTGTTTTGCTGTGCTTTGCTTTAATTGTGAATTGCGTGACGGTTTAGAGACCAGATCATCAGTTTGACATTCCACACATCATATACTTTGGTACATCACCTCCATGTAACATCACTTATCCCACTTCCGCCCTGTGTTCCCTGTTTCCATGCCTCGTCCTTTTCCAACCCTTCTGACTGTTGTCCTTACGCAAATGTCCATCTCAAATGACTAACGGTTCTGTGGTGTGCACCTCACCAGTGTTGTTCTCTCCCGCTCAGACCTCTTGACTGACCAGCTGAAAACCGAGCGGCAGGAGTGACAGCAATCCCAGACCTGAAGGGCGACCGAGGTCCGTGGTCTCTGAGTCCCACAGTCTCGAGCTATCCAGTATGTCTGCTTTTGTTTGTTAATAGGTTTGAGTTTTCTTCCCCACTATCCAGGACCTTCTAATGTGAGCCCACTCCCAACAGTTGCTACACCAGGTATTTCTATTTCTTAACTACCAAACAGTATTTTAAAAGCCAGAAAATACACAGAACATAAACATTTCCACCTCGTTAGATTGCGCTGGACTTTACTGGGCTTTGCAGACAGTGTATGTCCTGGCAACCCTGAGTCCAGGGAGTCCGTGGGCACCATTTCCCCGGTAACATGCTCACTTCCTGTCTCCGTGTCCAAGTCTGGTCATCCTCATAAAGTCCTAAACGTCCTCATAATGTTTCTACACACTTAGCGGACTCCTCCAAAACCCAAACCCACCTCCCTGCCATCAAGTCGCTTCTGAGCCAGAGGAACCCTAGAGGATAAACAGAAGTGCTCCCATGGGTTCATGACACTAAGTCTCATCTTTCTCCCAAGGAGCAGCGGTTGGTTTTGAACGGCTGACCTTGTCGTTTGCACGCCAATGCTCAGCCCACTACACCACCATGGCTAACAGGTGACAGTCTAGTGCAAACAGAACTTTTGTACTCACTGGGAATCTGAAAACACCACATAGTTACTTCATTGCGTTACTCGCTTTACTGTGGTGGTCTGGAACTGAACCCGTGACTCGGTCAAAGTCTGCCTGCAAACTGGGAAAAGTTCTCTCCATGAGGTAACAATTGGCTGGAACTGAGAAACTATCTGCCTTCTTCAGAATACCCCCATGTGACCCAACAATACAAATTTTAGGCTAAAATTCACAACTCAAAATACAACTGGGGAAGAGCTGTCTCCTCAAAATAGAGTTGACCATGATGACGCGAATGGAGTAAAGCCCTCGGGACCTTCATTTGCTGATGGGGCACAACTCAAAATGAAGAGAAACAGCTGTAAACATCCATTAATAATCAGAACACGGAATATACAAAGTACGAATCTAGGAAAATTGGAAATTGTCAAAAATGAAATGTAACATATAGAATTGATACCTTAGGCATTAGTGAGCTGAAATAGACTGGTATTGGCCATTTTGAATCTGACAACCACATGGTTTACTATGCCGGGAATGAAAAATTGAAGAGGAATGGCGTTGGGTTCATCATCAAAAAGAATGTATCAAGATCTGTCGTGAGGTACACCGCTGTCTGTGATAGGAGAATAAACATGTACCTACAGGGAAGACTAGTTAATACCACTATTATTTACGCACCAACCACTAAAGCCAGTGAGGATGAAATAGAAGAATTCTACTAACTTGTTCCATCTGAAATTGATCAAACATGCAATCAAGATGTATTGACAGCAAAGGGGGGGGCAGGCTTGCAGGGTATACCCTTTGGTTGGTTGATGATGCATGGAGGGGATTGTAACCATGGCAATGAAATGATATACAATAGTATGAATGTAAAACTAATGTTCTCCCATGTAAACTATCACATAATTCACAATAAAACATTTGAAATTAAAAAAAAAAAAAAAGGGAGCCTACATCCAGCTTGTCCATGACAAGCTATGGACAACATTGAGAAGTATGAGTATTCCAGAACAGTTCATTGTACTTCTGAGAAATCTGTACCTGGATCAAGAGGCAGTTGTTCGAACAGAACATGGGAACACT